AAAAAAAAAAAAAAAAAAGTTACTAGAAAGAGGCAATAGCTTGATGACTAGTGAAGGCATTCATTAAGTGCATGGTTTGCAAGAGAAGAGAGAAGGTGCTCTGTGGGGCCTTATAGAAGGTCCCCCCCGAGGTAGGCCCAATGGCTCACCAGTCAAGCAGGCGGTGAAGAAGTCTCCGCAGGCCACGTGCTTGATGGTCACGCCCGACTGGCCCTCCAGGAAGCGCGAGATGAACTGGGGCTGCGGCTGCTCCACTGCCCCAGGAAGGAGGGTGCCTCCACCTGCACCTAGGGGTGGGGCCTGCAGGGGCGGGAGGATGGCAGTGCCTGGGCACCCCACCCTTGTGTGGACCTACACTTCCACTCATCCAGGCCACCTCCCGACCGGCCTGCTCACCTCCCACAGGATGAGACGCCCAGAGCGTGTGACGCCGGCTTTCTGTGTGCGCCCAGCTGCCACCTGGACCACCTCTGTGTTGAGCATTGGCAGCCGCAGGGGAGTGCCCAGCCCACCACCCCAGGCGTACACTGACGACAGTGGTGGTGGGATGGTTGGCCTCACAGGTCCCCGGGGGACACCTGTGGGTACAGTGCATGGGGACTATTAAACTGATGTGAACGGTGTGGCGTCCACGGGGACTGACGGCCTCTTCCCACTTACCTCTGCAGCGGACACTGGTGGTCCTGCTCCCAGTGCTGCCGGGGGTCACAGACTTCTCCACCCTGCAGGACAGATGGGGGCCTAAGGACAAAGACTCTCCTGACATTCCTACCTGCAGGGAGGGAGGACTCACCCAGGTACCCCTCTGCCCCAGGCCTCCTGTGCTCCCACTGGGTGCCCACACCCATCCGCCCAGGACCACTCGCTCTCCCTGCACAGGCCTCCGCATGCGAACGCTGCCCACGTCAGTGTGGAGGTTGAGGAGGGCACGGATGCAGAGGGGCTGTGCCATGATGTGGCTGAGTGATGGCCGCTGGGCAGGCTCCAGGCTGAGTAGACTCAGGACAAGCTGGCGCAGCTCAGGGCTGTACCGGTCAGAGATGGGTGCAAAGGTGCCGCTCATGATCTTCAGCACCAGGGCTGGCAGGTTCTGTGAGGGCACCAGGTTGGGAAGTTGGCGAAGTGAGGGTAGCGCACCCCAGCCCCAACCCCTGGTCTCCTGGGATAACAGCTTTGCCCTCAGGAGAGACCTCAGTCTGATGAGGTGACTTCCAGACTGCTACGGGAGTCCAACCTGGCTTTCAGTGATCCCTAGTCTGACAGGGGAGCTGCAGCTATGTCCTCAGAAACCCCAGGACGCTGGGAAAACTCAAGTCTTACTCCTGAGAAGGTCCCTTGGGAGAGCCACAGCCCTGCCCTCAGGAGCCCTCGGTCTAATGGGAGGCAAGACCTACTCTTAGAAATCCAGGCTGGGCACGGTGGCTCACGCCTATAATCCCAGCACTTTGGGAGGCCGAGGTGGGCAGATCACGAGGTCAAGAGATAGAGACCATCCTGGTTAACAAGGTGAAACCTCATCTCTACTAAAAATACAAAAATTAGCTGGGCATGGTGGCGTGCGCCTGTAGTCCCAGCTACTCAGGAGGCTGAGGCAGGAGAATTGCTTGAACCCAGGAGGTGGAGGTTGCGGTGAGCCGACATCGTGCCATTGCACTCCAGCCTGGG